ACGAGACCGGAAGCCGGAAACCGTTCGGAGAAATAAAGATCGGCACTATTTCTCCGAACGTTCGGAGAAATAGTCACACGCTTTAAAAAATATAGACTCTAGATTCTATACCTGGCCCCCCAGGAAATCGCGGTCTTGCGGCCGCGTTTTCCGTCGAGTTCAGCAATAAACCCGCGATTTTTTGCAATTTTCGCTATTTCTTGCAATTTTAGGCAAAATAACATCAACGCTTTAATTTTAACAGAATTTTAAATTCGAAATGGTGCAAGTACAGAGCCGATAGGCCTACGTAAATCATGGTTTCGGCCCAGCTCTAGTCTACTGGGCGTACTCTAAAAGCTATAATATTATAACGGAAATTCCCCAGAATATACATCATATACAACACAAACTGAGATATATAAAGATCTGATGTTAACTGATGTAAGTCTTGTGTAAGCGTGCGCGTGTAATAAGAAAGTAGGTGTGTGTGTGTGGTGTGCATATGTGTGTGTGTTAGATGTACGTGTGTGTGTGTATGTATGTGTGCGCGCATGCATGAATTTTGTTCGTACACGGGCACCTAGTCTCACGATTTACCACCTACGGTAACCGGAATGAAAATAAATCAATGTTTGTTTTTTTTTGTCAATTGTTAAAAAAAAATAAATAAATGAATACATGTACGTCTTGTCGGGCTCGCCATCGTGACCGGTCAGTGAATCTGGGCTTTTGCATCACATTGCTGGGGTTGAAGGCAACTTCGGATGACAAAAATTGAACTTGGAGTTCAGAACTGCCCGGTTACCGTGTATGTGAGACACTGAGACTACGTGCCCGGTTGCCGGTTATCGTGTACGTATACTGAGGCTAGGTGCCTGGTTACCATGTACGTAGACACTCCCTTAATTAATGTAAAACGCCTTAAGCTGCGCTGCGTTCACACGGGAGTGGTCGCTATAGAAATGATCTACATTATTATTACTATTAAATGGGGAAAAAATTTCTGTATTTTTACGGTTTGACTTAGAGTTAAAACAATACCATACTGGTTTTAAAAAAGAAAACATCTGAAATAGATTTAACAGATTACCGGTGTATCGAAGGTTTCAAGACAAAAATAGAGTAGGATCTGAATTGATTGGGGCATAAGCTAATTTTGCATTTAGAGATTGTTAGAATCTCTCATCAATTTTTTGGAAGAGGCTAGCCGTACTTAATGACGGCTAGACTAGTTGGCTAGCCGTACTTAAGTATGGCTAGACAGCTGGGCTAGCCGTACTTATTCTTAATTAATATGATGGCTAGACTGACCATTAAAAAATAGGCCTACTGAATTGTAAAAATATAAATTTTTAGTTTGCAGTACCAAAAGTATTATTTGTATTTGAGTCGAAACCAGGTGCCTTATTAATGACAGGAACATTTATATTGACCGGTGGATAAGGGACAATCACCCTACTGCATAAAACCTTCAACAACTTTTGGGCTACCCCGTCCAGGAGTGGCAGAACCTACCACTACAAGTTCTCTGAAGGCATGTCCTGTCCATACATTAACGCTGTACCGAGTGTTTGATCAAACGGGGTGGCTATACTCACTATTGACAATGTTCGTGAAGAGCTATGGCTGTTCAGACTTTTGACTTTTGAAATCCAACCAGTGTAATTTAAACTCATTTTTCATGAACTTTTCGTTGCTCTTGAAATCTGAAATTGTGCACACATGTAATCTAGAAAGTCGAAAGCATCTTTTTTGAAAAAGTGAATAAATTCAGTTGAACTGTTTTTCAGTTACCTTTCTTTGAATTTTTGTTCCTTGACTTTTTAGTGCGAGTTTACCTTGACTTTTTAGTGCGAGTTTACTACCTCATTGATTTAGAACTTTTTCTTCTTTTAAGAGAAACCACATTTCTGTCATAACTGTTTTGTTTTCAATGCTTTGTTTTGTATAATTTTCAGCATTTATATAGAACGGTTGACCACAGCCGTTTAGAATTCTTGTTTTGGTACTTCTTTAGTCTTTAGCTAATTTTCAAGATTTGACTCATTTTTAAAAAACTTTCCACAGGTATTTTTTTGGAAGGACTTGCGTATCAAGCGACCACCCCAACAAACACAATAAAGAAGTGACCAAACCCAAACCCTAACACTAACCTAACTCTCTAACTCTAACCCTCTCAATTTCATAGTTACAGGCCTAGTGGTCGCTGGTTATGGAATTCCTCACATTTTTAAAAAAGTCGAATGTTTTTCAACACGTCATTATAATCTGATGAGATTCTTTCTTTTCTTACATTTTTCAGTACTTCATAAACCAAGATGCCTTCTGAAAAGGCAAAAGTTATACCAGTGATGGTCGCACTTCGGTGTCGCCCACTCATTGAGAAGGAATTGAAAGAAGGCTGTCAGCCTTGTCTGCACACAGTGCCAGGGGAACCCCAGGTGGTTCTAGGGAAGGACAGGGCGTTCACTTACGACTTTTCCTTTGGCCCAACAGATCCACAGGGGGAAGTGTATGAGAAAGCCTGCAAAACTTTGATATCAAGTATTTTCAAAGGTAAGAAAGGAGATGCGGATGATTGATTTATCTGAGGTCAGAGTTGAAAATGAGCTACTCACTGACTGAACTGGAGTTGTGGTTACGGTATGATGTACACACATCATTGTACATAGATTACATTCTTCACATTTTGTATGAAGTATTTCTACTGTGACTGAGACCAAGACAAAATGTAAAAAAAATGGCATTCAAATTTTATACAGAGCCAAAATGTTTTAAGACTGCCACCCATTGCTGTCATGGAGAGAAGTGGTTGTCTTTAGTCAGGAAAATATATCTTGAACAGTTTCAATTTTTGTCCTGTGAAAAACTGCAATGATGAGGAGTGGTCATTTTTATACAAGTGGTTGTCTTGGACAGGTGGCTTTTAGAGAAGGTTCTGCTATATTATATATCAACGCCAATAGTATTGGCTGTAGTGTATCGCACTGTTTTGAGTGGATTGATAGAACCACTTTTTTGAAAGGGTGGTTGGCGGGTGTTGTGGTGTGGTTTGTCCCCTTTTTTCCTGTCGAACGTCAATCATCCTTGTCTCTCCTCCTTTTCTGAATTTGTTACTCTCTTGTAGAACTTCTAATTTTCAGCACTTATATTATGACCTTATTGTGTTGCAAGTGCCGTAAAACTTTCGTTAGAGTAAAAATATTTTTTAAAAACCACTCGTGAAAATCAACAGAAAAATGATTCTTATTGACCTATGCTGTCCTATCCTATGACCGTGCTGCTTTTTAAAGCCTTCATTCACCAAGGTCTCTTAACGTTTCAGTATAACCCTATATGATTTGCTAATTTGTACTCAATGATTTTAAAAATGTCAAATTATAAGATAGGGTCTCTTAGATTTGTCCCTCATGCTGGAGGTAGCTAAATAAATTGCTGGGTAACGGTTGTTTGTAAAAGTTCGTGATGCATATTATGCATATATTGAGTACTGTTGGTATTTTTTTGGTCACCCCAGCTTTTTATCTTTTCTTCTTCTGCCCCCATTCCCACCCTGCTGAAAAAAAAAAAAAATAGATGGGAGACTGGAAGTTATCCTTTTACTTTTAATGCAGAATTTGCTCTTTGAATTGTGACACTGTAAAGTTTGTTCACTTGTTCCAATTTTTTTGGGGTAAGTTTTGATTTGGATTGTTGTTTTTTTGCTTTATTTTCAGCAGTGTATTTTGTAATTTATGTAGCTTAATGTTGTCTATCAATGTTTGCAGAAATTGTAAATGATATAAGTTCTGATTTCTTTCAGCTCTTTGGGTGATTAGTTATTGTACATTATATTGATTTGGATATTGATTTCTCCTCAGGCTATAATGCGACAATTCTGGCATATGGACAGACTGGCAGTGGGAAAACCCACACAATGGGTGGATGCTATGAAGATTCGCTGACAGGGGATGAAGAGGGCATGGGAGTGATACCTCGAGTTTTACAAGATCTGTTTCAGCATATTCAAGACAAAGAGGATATTGAATTCTCAGTGAGATTGTCTTATATGGAGGTAAGTTGGTTTGTTTATGACTCTGAATTTAAAGTAAAAGTGGAATGATAATTGTAAATATTCTAGAACTCCCTCAACAAAATTTGAACAATTAAGGATGAAGGCTGCTTTGACACTGGCTGTCTGGGCCATCCGATGCTGAGTTACATTCAATTTACCAGCAGAATTTGAAAGATGGAGGGACATGTACTTTACATAGTTGCCACTTTTCCGCTAAATAGTGGAAACTTCGCTTCATCTAGCTTTTCCCGCAACTTTCCTCCTTCCTCCGCTGGACCGCTCTTGGTCGCAAATTTCATACTTATTTTTTCCCGTGGAAAACAACGAACCGTGAGAGAGACGAAAACGCGGCTTGCGCATGTCCGCCCGTAGCTTTCTACTTCCGTTCTTTTAGGCCCAGCGCTAGTTTCACATTGTTTATTATTGTGAAGCAACACCATGTCGATCGGGCATCGGGACGTTAGCGCGCCGAGTTGTCATTGAAATTGGCGGAAATTCGAGAGAAATTGATGCAGAATGCAAAAATAGAAGGAACTGGAATGAGAAAGAAGCAGCCGGTGTGTGACTTGAAAAGGTCATTAGAAAATTGAACTAGCCGTTTTTAATGAAAGAAATCGCGGCCCGTGGCACTCCTGTACAATTGCGGTCCCGTTTGTTTACATGACGGCTATTGTGGCTGCTGTGGAAGTGAATCTAGATCTAGATCGAGAAAATCTATCTCTAGATATAATCTAGATCTACACATATTTAGATATATCTAGATCTAGATTAGATAGCCACTAGGCTATAATTTTAATTCAGTTTAGATCTCTAAATAAGAAACACACTACAGGGGCACTAAGTGCAAACGGGACCGCAATTGTACAGGAGTGCCTGCTTCCTTGATCCGATACTGCTCTACGTCTATGTACAAGTTTAAAGTGAAAGAAATCTTTTTATGAGACACCAGCTGGCAAAACACACTGGATTTTTAGTCACCAAGTCCAAACTGTCAAATTGACTCGAATGCTTGTTAGTCAACTTACTGCCTTTATGTTTTTTTTGTCGTTTTCTTTTTTCAAATACATTTTTAATTCAGTTGCCTTTGGTTAACAATATTATGACAGTTTTCCCTTCCAAAACCGTAGGCTAGATTTTCCAGTATATATTACCTCTGGATCCCACTGGTTTCGGAGAGCGCGCGTACGCCTTCGCGTGAATTTCCTCCTTTTTAAAAATTTCTGAGTGGCAGCTATGACTTTATAAAGTGGACTTTTCATCGCAGAATTCTACTTCGCATATTTTTCCATGCAAGATGAAGAGTTTAAAAAAAAAATGACAACACAAGTGCCGCTTAAGTTAAAAGCATTATGGATGACGGAAGCATAGATGGGAAACTACACCAGTTCTTTTGCTTTATTACTTTTAAAAAAATAACAAATCATCCTTGTGATTTGTGTTGGAAATTTTTGTAGATAGATACTGCAAGAAGACCATGATCATGGGCTTAAAGTGAAAAGTGGTTGAAAAGTGAAGTATTTGCTGGTTTGTCTTGCACTGCTCAACTCCTTCACGTAAAGGCATGGTCATTATATAAATTTATAACACCATACTTACTGTTCTTTTTCTTTGCATTGAAAGAATTATGTTGCACAGTAGTCTGTTGTGCATATTTCACAAGTATCTTCTGATTTTGAAATGGTTGGGCCTTGACAGTGAACTTGACTACAGCAAATATTGAAACATTCAAATCTTTACAATTCTTTAAAATTGTTTTCTGTTTTGAGCCTTTATGTGGCTTTGAACTTTCAGCCCCTCTAGATTTTTTCTGCCATGACAGTTATTTTAGGAGGGGTATTTTTCTAAATCAAAGGAATATTTTCTTCTACTCAAGATAGTCTGAAGATGATAGATCAGAGTTGCTGTCACTGTTATTGTGTCAAAGTTACCGATTGAGCGATCACTTTTCCTAGCCTTTTTGTTGTTGCTATTCTTCTGACTTTGACTTTTTCTGCTACAAAATTGCTTTTTATTCTGCTCATAGATTTACAATGAAGAGTTGCATGATCTGTTGTGCCCAGTTGCACAGAGGGCAACACTCGCGATTCGAGAGGAAAGCAATGGTGGAATAAAGGTATGTACTTGATTTTTTAAGTCCTTTTGCAAATAATCACCTTGTATAGTATAATATAATATGTTCTTATCCTGAGTGATGTGATATATGGGCTGAAAATGTTACCAATGAAGTGCAGGGGGAAACTGTCCTTATATTTTACACATTTTGCGAGCAAGACACTTTTGTTACATTTTTTTTTCTTTCTTTCTTCTTCTTTTTAAAAAAAAAGATTAGAAATAATGAAAAATTGCTGTAATTTTCTATTTTAGCGACAAATGCAATCTATTTGTTCTTATTCCCAGTTTTGATGCGACACTAGGACTGCTCCATTTTTGCAGTATAATGATAATAAGATGGTACTTCCCATTTTTTAAAAATGACTAAGCCTATCGTATTCTTTATGCATCATTGTTTGTGTAACAGTTGTCTTGTCATACGGAGGATAAGAGGCTGAACTGTGTTGCCATTAAAAAAAAACATTAATAAAAAAAATAATTGCATTTATATAGTGCGTTATATCCATCCCCTATGCACTTAACATTCACCAGTTGTCTTTAAAAAAGCACCCATTTAAAGGGCATAACAACTCTTGAACAAATTTAAACAAAACTTTGGAAAAATAAAATTCAACCTGGGAAATGTCATATTTTGTATTATGAAGAAAATCAATTCACATGTTCGAGAAATATTAAATTTTAAAAGTTAAAACCAAAATTGAGTGAAATGTAAAACTTTGCAACTTACTGAAAATCAACCAATTGTGTATTAGTGCATTGAAAAATTAATTCATATGAAACTGACATTGCCAAATAAATTCCACAGACCATTTCTCCCTTGACAAGCACTGGAAATTTTGAATAACCCTGTGACATTATAATAATGAATATTTCTGGGCTAATCCTTTAGACATCCTGTTCAAAATTGAGTTTTAACTGTTCAGTTGTTTATGGGCAGTTTCCATACACAATTTGTCTGTCTGTCAAAAAGGCTGAAAGGAAATAATTGAAGGAGCTTCAAGTCAAGAGGATCCTGTGACCATTCATTTGTTAACATCTGGCTTGTAAATCATTTTCCAAACCTTTCTTGCAATCATTATCATGCAAGGGCCACTCTTTCTGGAACAAGGCTTCCTCTACAGCATTAAAAACCTCTCTTAAACCTTTTCTCTGTGTATATAGAAGAGCAAAAATTATTTGATGGTTATTGCTTTGATGCGTTACTCTTTACACAAAGTGAACAAGTTTATGATTCTCATCGCCAGATCCAGGGACTGAGAGAAGTGGAGGTGACCAGTTTCACGGAAACGATGAGACATCTGAGTGAGGGTTCACACGGACGCACCACTGGGGCGACTGCCATGAACAACACGTCGAGCAGATCTCATGCCATCTTCACGCTTAATATTGATCAGAAAAAGAAAAGTGATATGTAAGTTTGCACAGTGACAATTCCATTGGATGCCCCAGTCATGTTTTAATAAAGAAAGAGAACAGTCATTATTCTGTCTCTCTCTCTCTCTCTCTCTCTCTCTCTCTCTCTCTCTCTCTCTCTCTCTGTCATTCTCTGGCCTGTTCATCTATCTCGTCTCTTTCTCCCTCACTCCTTGCCGCAGACTTACAAACACAGGTTCAATTTTTTCATGGTGAGTCATATCTCTGTGATTAAAGGAAATTACAAGTGTGCAGTGATAGCTCTTTAGTAAGATTAATTCCTTTTGTAGCTGCTCCCTTGTTTTGATGCAGGTAGTTAGAGGGCACCACTGGTGGGCCCTACTTCTTTTTTCCTTTATTGTTTTTGTTCGTCTTATTCTTTCCCTGCACTCTATGAAATTTATATTATCAAACGTGCTTCTCCGTACTCAAACAAACAAGCACTCTTGTTGGTTGAATTGGGTCCCTGATGTGTGCTGTAATTTGAAACTTCTGTGGGACAAAGCCTCATCCTAAGTGCACTTGTTTACATTTGCACACTGCGCACCACTGTGTGGATGAATAAAGGGTTTTACAATTAGAAGTCTTACACCTTTGCTGTCCCTCTTTCTGTCTGTCAGTATTGTTTTTCCCTGTGCTGAGGAGCTTTCATTGTGACAATGTTTGTTTGTTTTTTGTTTTTTTGTTTTTTTTTACCCAAATACACACAGTCGTATTGTAATTCTCTTCCTCAGGAATGATTATTGTCGGGTTAAATTCCATATGGTAGATCTTGCCGGGTCGGAGAGATGTAAGAGAACACAAGCTGAGGGAGACCGGTTTAAGGAAGGTAATAATTCCCTTCGTTTACCTTTCCTATAAAAAACACATTGGAAAACAGGTGCATATATGTGAAGACTTGAGCTGCTTTTTGTTTTCAAAGGCTAGTGGTAACAAGCAGTAAGTCCCTTAACTTTTTTACCTTTAAATTTTGATTGCATCCATTTTTAGGTACAAAGTTTGTGTTTCCTTTAGATCAAGGCCCATGGAAACGACAGGTTCAGAGACACTGACTTTTAGACTTAATTTTAAAGGGGATTTTCTCTTCCCCCCCCCCCCCCCCCCCTGATTCTTCAAAAGACTTATGAATGATGTTATCATTTTGGGGAATTGGGGAGGGGTTATGTGGGATTGGGTGTCAAAATGATACATATTGTGCTTAAAGAGGAAGGAAAGCTCCATATAATTTAAAAAGAGCTGCAGTTTGTTGTAAGCTTTAGTTTATCATATTTTTATTTCGTTTTAATCGAACAGGAGTGAATATCAACAAAGGTCTTCTGGCTCTGGGTAATGTTATCAGCGCCCTCGGGGACGAAGGGGAAAAGAGAAATCACATTCCCTACAGGGACTCTAAGCTGACTAGGATTTTGCAAGGTAAGCTGAGTTCTGTACGTTCTATTAATGCAGGTTTTTTTCCAACTTTTCAATCCTTCTTGATTTTGTCTGTCTTTCCCCCTGCACTGAAGTGACTGTCATTTTGTTGATGTGCCTCTCTTCACTTAAATTCAAACCGAAATTAAATGGAATTGCATATGGATGACTCATACATTTTTAGACACTATATATTGGTTTCTGTTCACTGCTAGTTTCCTACAAATTTTATCCTTATTAAAGAGTAAATATAGTGATTAAGATGAAGAAGAAAAGTCTACAAAGGATGTAAATACACATTTGCAGAAATGTCCAAATTTGATGTGGCGGATAAAAAGTTTGAAGTGTAAGCCCTACAGTGAGTGTATCGTGTGCAAATTATTCTCTCCCAGATTCTTTGGGTGGCAATAGTCACACTTTGATGATTGCTTGTGTGAGCCCGGCTGACTCCAACATTGAGGAAACTTTGAACACTCTGCGGTATGCGGACAGGGCCAGAAAAATCAAGAACAAGCCTATCATCAACAGGGACCCACAAGCCGCTGAGATCATGCGACTGAAAACTTTGGTGAGAAGGATTTTCATTCACTCTATTTTTTAAATTTCTTATATGAGCTATTCTCAAAAGGTGAGCATGGGTGAAGTACTTCTTTTCCACAATCGGTGCCGACCAATTCTAATTTGAATGAAATAACAATTTTCAAAGGAGAAATGTCCAAATAAATATGATGTAATAGGAAATCGACCAGAGTCCTTGACTTTACAAAATAAATGTCAATACAATTATGTAAGGGCATTGTAACAAAATGCGTTTTGTCCAAAAAGAGAAAAAGTGTAGAAAAGCAAATTATTTTACCCACAATCTGTATGCTGTTGAAGAGTGAACAAAGCCAAATCATGGCAAAATAATTGGTTACAGCATGTGTTATGACAAAAATATTTTAATGTAGTAAAGGTTCAGCTAGTGATCCTAAGAAGAAAAAGTGGAAGGATCAAAATTCGATGCTCAGACGCTCGATTGACATGTCACTGTGTGGATTAATCGCACCTGCCAGACTTTCACAGTAGAACTGTACTCGGACCACCTCCGCCCCTGCAGATGCGTGCATGCGCATGAGCGCGCACACACACACACACACACACATACTCTAGCATGTTTATCTCTGTTTCTTTTTCTGTTCAGAATACTGTATATTTTTAGAAAGCCTACTTTTACATTAAATCTTTAATTATGCTGTTATTGATTTTTTCAGGTGCAACAACTTCAGGACCAAGTCATTAATGGAGGCCTATCCACACTCAAGTCTGAGTAAGATTTTTACTACTATTGTTCGTTGCCATAATTGAAAGCTCTGTAGACTTGAATAATGAATATGTTTTCCTTAGCAATAGTACCTTTTGACTATGGGCCTACACTGTTACTTGAAGTCAACAGACAATATATGATCTTCATTGAAAGGTATTAACTGTTCTTTCACCAGCTTTTGTGACATATATGTAAATCATATTGAATTGTCATATCAACTCACGCGCACACGCACACACACACCACACATACCTAATATATGTTCAAACTCTCTCTCTCTCTCTCTCTCTCTCTTCCTCTCTCTCTCTCTCTCTCTCTCTCTCTCTCTCTCTCTCTCTCTCTCTCTCTCTCTCTCTCTCTCTCACACACACACTCGCACACACACACACACGTCTCCAATATCCAAAGACACCAAGCCCACCCAAATCCCCGCTTTCTCCTTTGTTAACCCTCATCCTGCGGGAGCCGGGTTTATGTAGCCCGATAAGCCTATTTCGGCACCTCGCCTGCGTTCTGGTCCCGAGTCAGTGTACCTCCTGGCTCAGCGCACGCGCAGCGCGCATCCTCTTACGTGTCATTCGGGTCCCGAGTCGGATCCCCATTCACGCAGGTCAAGTGTGTGTGCGTCAGTCTGCTTGAGTTTGTGTGCGTTTGTGGCCTTCTTCTAGAACCACCTGCGTTGGTTCGTAATCGAGGCATACGTCTCATTCAAAACATGCCAAGTTGATAGCTCTAGATGTTCGTCCAATGAAATTATAGAAGAAATTGACCCACTTAGACATGAGGAGCTCGAAAGGATAGTCAGGAAACATGACTTCCATTTTTCTATACAAAATATTTCAAATGAGCTTGATTTTGTATGAAATGATACTACCTGATAAAAAATGAGCTTGTTTAATAGTTTTGAATATCCTTGTGCAGGTACATAGAACAATTTGAGTGTAAAACATTCGGAAATTGACCTAAATTATCCCTTTTCGAACCTCAGGTCATTCATAACAACAAGAGCGTCCAGAAAGGTTATTCAAATGGGCGTAACTACTCGTAATGTCTTATCAGCTTGTGAGAGGGGGTTATTCATGTGTTTGTAACACTTTATAAATAGAATGCTATGAAGGATAGAGCGTTATTTTCATCATCAGTTAACACACTCCCGCGGTATTCATGGCGAAAACACACGTTTCCCGGCGCGCGTGCTGTACACCAACAGTACACACTGAGTGACCCTGGCGGCCTGCCCGGCGAGTCCGACGTAATCGGTTGATGATAAGATACGCATCTGGGCACAGACGCAGGATAAAAGTTAATTTAGACCTACCTCCACAGAGCAATTGACAATTGAGTGTTAAATAATATGAAGGTTTGTTAAGTTTCCAAAGTATAAAAAAACCCAGCCAAATAATCACTTCCTCACCAAAGAATGCCTGCCAGCACCTCGTGTGTATTTTGAGGCTTGTTTTCATTGATTCCGATGTTTAAAAGAACTGATATTCCTACTAAGCATGATTAAAGAATCTTGAACAGGTTTCCCACAGTAATATGTACTGGGTCATTCCATGAAAAATTAAACTTCCATGACATGTGTAATGCAAAACCTGCACCAAAAAAAAATCTTAATAGTGATAGAACCCCCACCTCACCTCCTTTTTCTTTTGTGTGTCCCTGCTCACAGCTTTCTCCAGCTGGTCATCTCTGCATTACGTGTGTCACTGCAGTTTTATTTATCATGGAAGGCCCTACTTTGTCCTAAGTGGTTATATATCATTATCGTTGTCATTAAGTGCCAGATCTTAATCGGACATCAACAATCATGGTTGGCCACTTATTTTTCCTAGCTCGAATGCTCTAAAAAAATCAATATCATTTTTATTATTACCCCCGTTACCCATCAGATTGAGTTCTCTTGTTTATATGGAAATTTTTTTCCTCTGCCTTTAGCACCAGCAGTAGTACCATCGCTTCTGTAGACAGCAACGCTGACGAGTTAGCAAAACTGACACAGCGGGTGAAAGAGCTGGAGAAAGAGAATGACCATTTGACGAGAGAGCTGCAGCGATCGGTGGCAGAGAGCACCAGCATGCTGGACCAGGTGATGAAGCTGGAGGCCAGCAACGACAGGCTCAAGCTGAGGATCAACCAGATCAAAGACTACGTCGGGTTTGTTTTGTTTTACTTTTTAATAAATGATAATGATAAACAACTTTTGTTTTGGGCCAATTCCTGCTCAAGAGCAAGCTCTATGTACTTGACAATCTATAGTCGAAATTGTCTAAGAAGGATACAGATTTCCAAGCGAAAAATTTGCCGTCCATACAGGTGGCCACCTTACATGGTGTCATTCCAATGTTTTAAACAGGGCAAGCGGGGTAATGGGTTGTGGCTATTTATACAGATGACTGTCTTATACAGATGGCCATCGTGTAGTTTTGACTATGTTTCATATTCTTATTTACCCAATTAGATGTTTTCTCCACCAGTGTATGATATAGGATCTTCGCGTTGCTCATTGAGGATGTGTTTTATTCGTATACAGGAGAAGATATTTCATTTAGTATCCTAGATAACCTGCTTTGATGTAATGTTTACCCCCCTGACGGGGTTTGACAGACAGGTTTTTATTAAAAGGTCCCCAAAAAGTCAGACATAACAAAAGTGTCAAATAAACTGCAAAAGATATATTATAAACTTAAATTTTCATTCAAACAATGGTCATTATTTATAGGCTTTTCCTCTATTTTTGTTGGTTAAGAATGGTTCTTGTTCTGTCTTTTTTTCGTCCTCGTGATCTGCCCCAACTACTACATCTTAGTTTTATCCCTTGTCAATGTCCGATTCTCTTTCTCTTTCTGACAAGGCCAGGCATTGATTCTTCATTTAATTTTCTCCTTCATTGTAATGATGACCATACAGATCACCATCATGAGAGGGATCAATAATATGTCTAAATTCACACTTGATTCAGATAACAAAAAGTCCAAGAAACCAAAGAAAAAAGCATTAGATTCAAACAAATGTTACTCGCAAACCAAAAGTTCTGCTGACCACGTTGGTCGAACAAGATTTCCTGTTTAATCAGTTACAAGAAAATCCCAATAGCTACTGGTAGTGAAAGTGAAACTACCTGGCGATGATGGGAGATTTTGGTGGGAATGAAGTTCTTATTCACTGTTGCATACACACACACACCCCCCCCCCCCCCCCCCACGTTTTAGAAAACTAACAATAATTTACCCCTGACTAGTTCATTCATTTCCCATTTAATTTATTTTCTTTTGACACCTTGTGACATGACTTTTGGCTTTGATTTCATTTCTTTTTCGAAGGATTAATTTGGAACTGTTGCATTTTGAAGCTTATTTATGACACATTTGTTCATTGTTCTTTCTTTCTTCTCTTTCCTTCCCCCCGGGGCAGTACCACTGACTAGTGTCTTTAGGCCATTCCGAAAGGGGGGACATTTCTCGTTCAAGCATAATAGAATTGTAAATGGGCTGATTCATGTCATGCTCATTACTGTGCCTGATCTACAACAGGGAACTGCTGCTTTTTCTTTCCTAATCCTTACCATTGTCATTTTTTTTCTACTTCTTTTGTATGTTTGTCACTCTCTTGTGACCTGCTATTTCCGGGGTGCCTTGATAGTTGAAGCAGACCTTGAGCTGTTGAAGCTAGAGAGGTGAGCAGAGTAAGTCTGATTCCCTGTAAAGACTTCTCTGTTGACACCCACCCCATGGCGCTCATACGACCTTATGCAGTTGCGAGCGCCGTAAAACCCTTTACTATTTTTTTTTTTTAAACTTCTCTTTCCAAGGATTGATTTGGAACTGCTGAGTTTTGGTTCGTGTTTTGAATCTTTTTTAGAGTATATTTGTACATTATTCTTTCTTTTCTTTTCAAGGATTGATTTGGAACTTTTGAGCTCCAGTGTTGACGTGGAGAGTAACCCTCAGGCCAAGGCTGAGCTGGAGAAACTCCAGAAACTGACGCAGACGGTCATTGAGGACAACACAGAGGAGGAGGAAGAGGAGGAGGAAGATGCTGAGGTGATGACATGCCGCTTTCTTGGGATAGTTTCTTTTCGTAGGTGGGGTTGGCATAATAATAATAATAATGATTTAAATAATTTTAATAGCGTCTACTCCTGTGTGCACACAGCTCCGGGCACTTAACATAACTGAGTAGCAACATGACAAAACAAATAACTTTTTGCACTCTGTTGTTTCAAGATGTCACTCAAATTCATAAATGTGTTTCTGACTCCCCCAACTTCAAGTGCCTGTAAATTTGGAACCAGGGCCAATAGAATAATACTGTTTACACCCACTTGTCAGGCTTAACACTTTGCCATCACAAGATTCATATAGTAAGAACTCTTGCCTTCAAAGGCAAAGGCATTTTGGGGAAAGTCCAAAGAAACTGGGTGGTAAACATCGCCAATCTGTGAGATGAGGCAGCAAAGTGTTAAACTGTTCATTAGTTCAGAGATGCCAACCAGTACGATTTTACGTATTTTAGTACGATTTTTTTTTCGAAAATACGCGAATACAACTTTTCATGAAAAAATACGCATCCTGGAATGCGAAAAATACGAGATTCAGCTTGGGCGAGTAAACCTAATTATCTCAAGTCGCATCTTTTAAAATAGTATCAGTATCGCAGAACTGGAATATTTGAAAACCAAGTCCGATAAGGTCAGTAAGTTCATTTTTGCCGGTCGCAATCGTGATATTATATTCGTTCAGCTTTTCCTCGTCCGGGGAGTACGTTTCACTTTCACGCGTATAGGCAGCTATAGCGGCAGGCGGAAGCGTATGTGACACTGAGGCTCGATTGGGAAAATCAAGATCTACTTTCGCTTTCGCTACCACCAAGAAGTTTGCCAGCAGTTGTCTGATAATGCAACATTTGTGGCATGCAGGTTGTGCTGTATAAATGCAATGTCGTCGTGCAAATAAAATGTAATAAACACTCGGACTCGTCGCTTTGGCTGTTGCTTGTGGTAAAAAAAAAAGAAAAGAAAATACAAGCGTCGTCCGATTTTTAGATTGTCTGGCTCGCCATCGTGACCGGTCACCGAACCTGCGCGCATTCGCGTCATAAATAAATGCGGCATCGTGTGAGTAAAGACCGTCTTTGGTGGGAGTAACGGGGTTGCAAAGTATATGACTACGGAATAGGGGAGGAGATTATTGATTTTTTTGGGTTTAAGATACTATCGGGGGGTGGTTAAGGTAACACCAGAGGACAAAAACCTGGAAGCGCATTTCAGAATTTTGATTAGAGCTTTCTGCTAAGCGCGCGTTGGTGCAGGCCGTGTGCGGAATCGGGACCCCTCATACTTTGCAAGTCTGTGTTATTGAAATAAAGTGTTCGCGTTTCATTGGATGGGTGAAAGTAATTATACCTACTTGGGTGGGTGATAGTAAATTATACCTACATCTACTTGGATGGGTGATAGTAAATTATACCTACGGTGTATGTTGTAGCTTTCTGTTCAAGACTGGCAGATTTTCAGTGTCACTGCATCTTGTCCTCCCACAGTTGTTACAACTCTCACAGTGCACGGGTCTACTTGAGCCTTTCAAGTTATTGCTGTTCTCTGAGTTTGAGCAGTAATTTGAGTCTGTCAGTTCATAATATGAATCATGACACCCAGACTGGTATTTGATAGTCGAAATTCTTGTTCTAGGCCCTTCTGAACTCTCAAAGCAGGATTTATTTTTTATATAATAATGAGAGGAAAATATATAATAGATTGAAATACTTTTAAAGTCAAACAAGACCCCTGTACGACATTGAACACTGACATGTTGTTGACTGCATACATGTATATTGTACGCGTGTTTGCTCCCTTTTTCGAGCTGGTGAGCTAGTAATTTTTACTATTACTAGTTGGTCGGTCATGGGGAATACACATTTTCCCCTGAAAATACACATTTTCATATTTCTCAGTACTCATTTCGGTTTACTGTGGTTGGCATCTCTGATAGTTTAATACCCATTCTGTAATATTGTCAAAATGTGACGAGTGACTTATTTTGGCGGGTTTCTATACAAAGGAGTTTCTTAAAAGTGCCCAGAACATTGCTTGTTCTCATTTTATAGGCAAGGGTTATAAGGTTAAAAGTAGACCTGCATCCTTGCCGACAATCGTCTGAAATCCGAAAATCCCGACCCAACTGATGTTATCTCTAGGCCCACCTGTATTCGTCAATGTGCGAAGCGTGAGGCTTGGCCGATTGCCAGCACCCCCTTTTTCTCCGGTCGGCTTTGTCGGCACTTTCGTTTTCATGCCGACTGCCAATGTCGACGTTTCCGACATAATTGTCGGAACCCGAGTAGAGATACGAATATGAAAAAGGACGACCTAAATTATTTTCAGTTTCGTGCTCGAGCGGCCATTTTGAATTTCGTCTGTTGACTGATTGTTCGGATGTGAATTCATTCAAATCCTATTCACTTGTTCTACTAGATCTGGAGATGGGGTTTCTCGTTCAAGGCTTAGATCTAGATTCTATCTCTATTCACTTGTTCCACTAGATCTAGATTTATTTAGATTACAATATGGAGGATTCATATTCTAATTCTATTGTTATTGATCAAACCCTATTATAATAATTATAATTAACAATGTAGGCCATTTTATGCTCCTTGTTTGTTTTGAGGTGTGGGTTTTTTTTTCATTTTGGATTGTGCTGACTTTTTTACATGAGGGCAGTTGCAGGTTGTTTTTTTTTTGGGGGGGGGGAGGTAGGGGTAGGGTTTAGCTTGACTTTGGGGTAGGGTTAGGGTTTGGGGTAGGGGTAGGGTTAGGTCTCTTCTTTATTGTGTTTGTTGGGGTGGTCGTTCATTACACGGAAGTCCTTCCTTTTATGACACCCACAAAAGTTCTTATGGTTGCGCAAAATTTTAAGACAATCTGGTTGAGGCTCACATGCAGTTCTATAAAAGGTAGAAGATGTAATATACTTGATTTGAAAGTTTTAAAACATTCAAAACAAGTATATCACATCTTCTGTAGAAATTTTAAAAGAGGTGCCTTTTCAGATTATATGTGCATGTCCTGGCTATCAGTTACACTTTGTCAGTGTTTTTTTGTATTCGAAGGTCAATTTCCTTCAAAAACAAAAATACTTGGGTTTTTTCCAGGGTAAAGAAGATGAGGAGGACCAGAAGGACGACGAAGACATTGGGAATGAGGTGAGTCAGTGTCATGCAGCTGTATTATTGGATTGTTGGGCTTTTTATTCCAAGTGGAGAATACACCTTTTTGTGGGTGCTCTAGTGTGTTTTTGTTTCTTTTTTACTACCAAATGCATATCGTCCTGGTCTCTCCTCTGTCTTTTCTTTGTATATTACTCTCTTGCAGTGGGTGGTTGGCGGGTGCTCTGGTGTGGTGTGCTTCTTCTTTCCTGTCAAACATCTATTGTCCTTATCTCCCCTCCTTTTTTGTGTTTGCTACTCTCTTGTAACATCTTCTTGACAGTGTTGCTTGTCTTTACTAAAAATAAGCAAACAATAGTGGTTTGTTGGCGGATGCTCTGGTCTGGTTTTCTCATTCTTTCCCATAGAATGTCTATTGTCTTTGTCTCTTCTAATTTCCTTTGTATGTTACTCTCTGGTAACACCTCTAAACTTAATTATAGGAACGCATGTGGTTGGAGGCATCACTGGTAGTTCTTGCTTCTTTAATTTCCCTCTTTGTTGTTTCTCTCCTTCTAACATTTTTTCAACACTATATGACTATTACAGTGTTTTTGTGCTTCTCTTTACTCAAACAAACAGACAAACAATTATTTGACCTATTTTTTGTGTTGTAAGTCATGAAACTCTTACTAAAACTAATAATCATAAATAAACAAAACAAGCAGAACGAACCAAACTGTTTTGTCACATGTTCAGGAGAACGAGAAGCCCGGAGACCCCATGTCCACCCCCGAGTCGCGTGGCTTCCAGCAACAGTACGCCCTGCGCCAGGCTGAGCTGCACCGACAGCTGACGGAGATCACACGCAGCCTGAACAGCAAGCAGGCGCTGGCAGACAAAATGACGCAGAGGGATAAAGAGATGGAGTCCATGCAGGCCAAGTACGACGACATGATGAAGGAGTGGCAGGCCAAGACTCTGCAGCTGGAGAGAGAGAAGGAGCAGCTGACACATACGCTCCACGATGCCCAGGTCAATGCCAAATCTCAGAAGTGAGTTGATGTTGTTTTTTTCTTTGTTTATTTTGTTTGAGCAGATCAAGCCTCTCTGACTCTCTCTCTTTCTCTTGTACTTTCACTTTTTCCCTTCCCTTCCCCCCCCCCCCCCCCTCTCTCTCTCTCTCTCTCTCTCCCTCTCAATTCCCTCCCTCCCTCCCTCCCCCTCTCTCTCTCTCTCTCTCTCTCTCTCTCTCTCTCTCTCTCTCTCTCTCTCTCTCTCTCTCTGTTTTATAATGCATTTATTCTCTCATTTTCAAAATTTCTCTGGAATTTGAAGTAAGTCCTTTTCTTTTCCTTTTTTTCTGTGAGAATTTTGTAGCCATTGTACATCAGTTCCCTTTAAAATATACGAATGTTGCCATCTTTCCTTTCCCTCTCTCTTCCTAATGACAGGGTGTCAGAACATCGCCGTGTGCGTCTGAAGGAACTGGAGCAGCAAATGTCACAACTGAAGAAAAAGATGACGGAGCAAACCCGTATTGTGAAGATGAAGGAGAGCTCGGACAAACAAGTATCACGACTCAATGTTGAAATTCAGGTGAGTTGAGTTAGCCCATTGGGAGATAATTTTTTGAAAAAGTCAAAATATCGCTTTCATTGTGATTCAAGTAGTCAAACCTGCTTTAACACCCTCCCGTATAAGACAATCATCTGTGCAAACGGCCACTATTTTTCTCGTAGAAATTTTTATACGTCATATACATACATGCATAATACTTTAGATGTTTTACGTACACACATGTCCTTTAATTTTTAAGATGTGATATATTTATTAATGTAATGGTGCATTGAGCATTTTTTAGTAAATAAAAATGCGCAGCATGAATGCTATTTATTATTATTACTTTCTATTTCCTCCCTAGCACATTTTTTTTTTTTACATTATATTGACATTGTGTAAGACAGCCACTTGTCTTAGGTGACCACTTTTTTCCTTGACAATTTTTAGCCGTTTCAGACAATTTTGAAAATATTTTCCTCTCTACTGTTTACAAACATTAACATGTTTTCAAAAAACATTTTAATCTGCATATCCTTTGTGCAGTTGTGAGTGCTTTAAAAACTTTTAGCTATACTAAACTAAATTGCATAATTAGGCATATAAAATTACCCCTGAAGAAAACAAAGAAAAGTTAAGATTCTAGAGGTAAAATGGAAAGAAGGTTTGTGTATGTTTTCCGGTTTCATTTGAGAACATCATGAGTCATGAGTTACATCATGTGGTATGTATTGACTAGGCTGTCTGCGCGATTGCTTTATGAGTATCATCTGGCCTTATTTTGAAGTTAGTATAGAAAAGCGCCCCCCCCCCCCCCTCTTTTTTAAAAAAAGGAAGAGGCTAGCCGTACTTAATGACGGCTAGACTCGCAGTGTAGCCGTACTTATTCTTAATATGATGGCTAGACTGACCATTTACAAAAAATAGGCCTACTGAATTGTAAATATACATTTTTAGTGTGCAGTACCTAAAGTATTTGTGTATTTGAGATGAAACCAGGTGCCTTAATGACAGTGCATGTATTTTAAACCTCCTGTTTTCAAATGTTAATAGGGCCTAAGATAAGTACGGCTAGACTTCTTGTCTAGCCGTACTTAAGTACGGGTAGACAGCCAGGCTAGCCGTACTTAAGGACGGCTAGACTGTCAGGCTAGCCGTACTTAATATTGATGGCTGAATTGTAAATGAAATTTTTAGTTTGCAATGCCTAAAGTATTTGTATTTCAGACAAAACCATAAGGTGCCTTACTGACTTGCATGTATTTGAACCTTTAACAGGCTTGAGTCGATAGGGCCAAACCTAGATCTAAGTACAGCTAGACTTCGTCAAAAAAATTGTGTGGACTCCCTTTCCCTCCCTCTCTCTCTTTCTCTCTCTCTCTTTCTCTCTCTCTCTCTCTCTCTCTCTCTCTCTCTCTCTCTCTCTCTCTCACTCTCTCTTTCTCTCACTCTCTCTCTCTTTTCTCTCTCTCTCTCTCTCTCACTCTCTCTTTCTCTTTTCATCTCTCTCTCTCTCTCTCTCTCTCTCTCTCTCTCTCTCTCTCTCTCTCTCTCTCTCTCTCTCTCTCTCTCTCTCTCTCTCTCTCTCTCTCTCCCCCCCTTTCCTCTCCATCTCTCTCTCTCTCTCATATACTTTCATACTCACAGAGGGTGGACCCATTTTTGCTTCTGAAATCGAATTTGTCGTGTTTTTTTTTCTTCTGTTGTGACTGAAACGGGAAAAGAAATTTTGTAAGTCCGACAAGTTATAGTAATAAAGTTGTTTGTTTGCTTCAGACTTTGAAACAGAATCGTGTGCGGCTCATGAAGCAGATGAAGGAAGAAATGGCCAACTTTCAGAAGTGGAAGCGAGAGAAGGACAAAGAAGTGATGAAATTACAGCAGAAGGTGGGATAGAACTGTTATTTCTGCGTTTCTTTCTCTTGTTTTCCACTCACAAATGGTTAGGTGAATATTGGTTTGGGGGGGGGGGGTGTTCTGCTTTGAAGAAATTTATAATTTTCACCCCAGTTGACACGGTTAGTTCTTGTTATTAAAGGGAAGAGGCTTTTGCATCGTAATTATAAAAAAAAAATTACATATTTTTTTACGCCCTTTTGACACAATTTTAGGTCATTTTGGCGGTGGGACTTATCAGGCTGAGAGTGAGAGAGATAGATACAACATCCTACCAGAAAGACAGAGATACTCAATAAAAATGTTCCCCCCACTTGGGAATTGTGCTTGGGCCTTCTGTGTGCAGTAGAGCAGAGCACATAACTGTCACACAGTAGTCACCGCCTTTGCACCGCGCCATTTGGCTGTATTCAAGTCGAAATGTAAACAATCGGTTTACTTGGGAGTCATTTTTGTGGCCCTGATGCAGTTATTATAACTTTGTCTCTTTAAAAAAAATTTACTGTATCTCATATATGATGACAGAAGTATTTCTACATTTGTCTCAAGATTCCTTGATGGTGATGTTGATATAAATACAGCAGTTTTAAATAGTTTCAATGAAAAGTTTACTATACCTTTATAAAGTTTATTCAATCTGATGTTGTTTATTTAACCCTATCCCTGGGGGCCGGAATTCTGTGCACACCGATTAGCGTATTTCGGCTACTTTGCAGTCCAACCAATGGATCCCAAATCAGCACGGCCTCACTTACCTTAGGCATGCCAAGCATCAGCGGGTCCCGTGTTTCCACAGCCGAAGTGTGCGTGCGTCAGTCTGCGTTTGTCACCTACTTTTAGAACCGCCTGCGTTGGTTTCAAAACCGAGGCGTACGTTTAGTTCGAAACACGTTACGTTTATAGCTCTTGATATTCGTTCAAGTTCAATGAAATTTTTAAAAATTGACCGACTTAGACATGAGGAACTTGAAAAGATAACCAGGAAACAAGAGTTCCATTTTTCAATTTAAAATCTTTTATATTGGCTTGATTTTACATAAAATGTTGTTTCCTGATGAAAATTGTTTTTTTTAAAAATGGTTTTGAAAATCATTGTGCAACTTGAAGGAAAAATTTGAGTAATCTGGCGCCTTGCAGGGAACGCTGTCTGTACGGAGAAGTTGATCTTGTCAGTGGATTAGAGTTGCATCTGTTGATGCCCACAGATGAGGATGATGTTAATCTGAATATGTATTTGTTAAGTGCACATATGTTTTTCTCTCTATTGTGTTTGTTCGTTATTCCATTCTTTCTTTCTTTATGATCTTTTCTGCTTCTTCTTTCTTTCGAGAGTGGTCAGTCAGAATGACTATCTCCTTGGCTGGTGATCACACTTTTTGTTGGAAGACAAATTGTGATGCAAGTGTTTGGAAGGCCCCCATTAATATGTTCTACTTCTATTCTTTCCCTCTGATTGTCTGTCTGCGCTGCTTTTTCTCTTGGCACTTACTGACTTATCATGTCGATGAGCTTCTTCTTTACTACAGCAGACAAAACAAACCTTTTTTTAAATGAGTTTCTCTCTCTTTAATTCAAAACACAAATAGCTGTCATTCTGTTATGTGAATATTTTGTGATGCTTACAGGACCGAAAGCGAGATGTGGAGGTACAGAGACTGAAGAAAGACTTCGAAAAGCAGCAAGCAGTGCAGAAAAGGAAGACAGCCGAAGTGAGTGGAGAGTTATGCTCACTGATTCGCTTGCTTTTTCATTTAAATGAAAGATTTTTAAAAAATCTTTAGTTGAATTACGTCATCTGAATCCCTAATGTGTCAATATTCTTTTATCTATTCTTCATCATAGTTTGCGATTAAATAATTCTACTTGATAGAGGGCTGCGGACAGTTGGAAAATGCCATTGGTAGATCTAAAATCTTTACTGTTCCAATGCCCGTCGGGTCTATCATTCTGTCTTGCTTTATCCCTGCACGAAATGATTATTGTATCGATGCGCTTCTCTTTACCGAAGTGTATGGATGGTTGGAGGGCGCTACCGGTAGGTTCTTCTTTTCTTTCCTTTTGTTATTTCTGCCCAGAGGTGCCTGTTTTCCAGACATTTCTTAAAATATGTATAAAGCTAACTGAATTTGGCTGTTCTTTTTGATACTAGATGTATTTAACAATACGATTAATTTTGTGTCACCATGCATGACTCTCCACAAGATCCAGACTCTTCCGGTCTATCTTTTTGTCTTGATTTTTTTCCTGCACTTAATGATCATAAATGTGCTCGTCTTTACTAAAAGAAAATATTACCCAATTGATGGTTGGTTGACGCTCTGGTGTGGTTTGCTCCTTCTTTCCTATCAAACATCTATTGTCCTGATCCCTCCTTCTTTTCTTTGTATGTTACTCTCTAGTGGAAACACCTCTGGACACGTATGACCTATTTGTATGGTCAGTGCTGTAAAATGTGTACTAAAACAAAAACATTACAAAAACATCAGGCTACAGCAGCAAACAAGCGACTGAGAGAGGCACTGGATAAGCAGAAGCTGGTGCAAGATGAGAGAACTGGGAAACTGGAGAAGTATGATTCTGCCAGCATTGGAAACAGAGTCAGGGTGAGTGGTTTTTAAATCTCTACTTTTTAGAAATTTCAAAAAAATTGTTGTTGTCAGTAATGGATTAGGATGGGAACTTTTTCTAACATTTTCAGAGAGCAGTGACAAAACAGCCCTTTGTTTTGTTTTTTAGCAATGTATTTTTTAATTTTTTTTCCCCCAAACATTACAACCCAATGCTCTAGTAAACCTTACAAAAAGTTTACCTCAAAACAAAATAATTGTTTCATGAAGGCAAAACACACTTGATTTCAATTCCCAAATAGACAGGATATTTTATTTTCTTTCTGGGATGTCGTATACCACACAGCTTAGGTTGGTTTTTACAATCAGTGGTCGCAGCCGGCCTCTGCGGTTGTCTAAATTAATATTCCCTCTGTGGTTTGACTGTCTGTCTGCATCACTTTTTCCCTGCACTAAATAAACGACCATCGTTGTGTGTTGATGATTATGCCTCTCTTTAAGCAAGCAAAACAAACGTCATGCAGAACATTAACCATCGTACCTTTTGTGGCATTCCTCTTCAGAAATGGCTGAGTCATGAGCTGGATGTGAAAGTGAGCATGCGGGAGACCCAGTACCATCTGACGGTGCTCATGCAGAACCGGAAAGAGCTGACTCAGCAGTTGCAAGCACTGAGAGATCAACTGGAAGGAGGTCCCCTGCTGGAGGTTAGTAGTGTGCTCTGTACCATCACTATACCTTCATTAGCGCAACACTTAATGGCGTCTGGCATCCTGCGCTTATGATGTCACCATGAGTTTCAAATGCAGTACCAGAGTGAGTGGTTAATTTGATGTTTAAAAGACCAGTATCCTTCCTTCCTCTTATCATTATGTTGGTTTATTTTAGCACTAAATTAGCACCCTGTAAATGACATACAGGTAATACTAACGTTTGTAATGTATTGGGGGGGGGGTGTCATGATGTTCTTTTCAGACAGTTTTCTTTCTGAGGGTGATGTCGGGGTTAAGGATGGAAAGGGTTAGCATACGTTATTTGTTTTACGTTCTGTCATACAGACATTCTCGCACACACAAGCACGTGCACACAAAGGCATCGATTTACTTACCTTACAGGTAGACTCATTGCATTTAGGCAGGAGACACAACCTCTTCACAACCTTTTTTAAGGTCACTAAGACCTTAATTTCAGATGTTAATGTGTTAAAATTGCTTTGCTGTATTTTCTGGCTGTTCTTTTCTGCTTTCTTCTTACCTTTTATCCTCAAATGAAATGGTCTGATTTTGAAATTAACATTTTGTGTCTTGTGGGGTATCAGCTCATATGTGGAAAGCTACATCTTTAGTCTGAATTAAACCAAAGAGATGGGCTGCGTTGATAAACTTGATGAAAAACTGCTACTCAAAGACGACTGATATCTCTGCCAACAGAGGAAATGGCAAAGCCCAGCCCTACTTCACATGTTTAACTTTCCATTTTGCTATTTCGACTTTCCTTTTATCCCTTTTAAAGGAGTTTCTATAAAAATGGTTGAATTTGTGACACTACTGTTGATTCTTCGGATATTTTTTTCTGGTGATTGCAGGCACTAAGTTTTAACTGTGTAATCATGAATGAGTTAACTCATATTTCCAAAAGTTGATGATACTATTATATTCTTTTAACCCTCAGAAATTCTCGTGGCTGGGCGAAAATGGAGACAAAGATGAGATCAGTTTTCAGGAGAAAGAAATCCAAAAGCAGATGAAGTCCATTCAGCTTGACATAGAATTGATGTGAGTCCTTGAGAAATGTTTTGTTCAGTATGCTTCTCCCCGCAGAGAATGTCATTTTCCTTATGAACAGACTGGCTTACCCCAAAAATGCAAGCTTTAAAAAAGAATAGATGAATTGATAAAAAATTGTCCATTTCACATGGTCAGTCAAATACAGATTGAATTTTGAAGAGAAATGCTCCTTAATGATATGATTTGATTAGATAAAATTGTATTTTATTGTCCGTGTGGGAAATTTTCTGTGGCTGTACAGATTTGGTAAATACACATCATGTAAATATTCATAGAATTTGAATTGTATATTACTTTGATTCAGTGCTTCCACTCTTCCGTATTTTTACGGAAATCCGTACTTTCTGCTAGTTCCGTACTTGTTTCTCCATCATTATCAACTTCCTGCGTAAAAAATTGTGGCAGTGGAGGACTACCGAAATTCCGTATCAAAAGATTCGTACTCATCTACATATCGTTTTGTATAAGTTACGGATACTTATGGTAATTCTCTCGGCAATAGTTTATGTTATAGAAACCTGCCAGATTGCGCATTTCCTGCCATCGGCCATTATTCCGCTATGCCCCCATGCATTCATTGAGAGTTGGTCGGCAGTACATTTTTTACCTGCAGATTGATCAAAATCTGGGGAACTTTTTTTGCCACTTTCCTCCTTTATATCATTCACTCATTCCGTCTGACTTTCTTCGGATTGTCACCACGGCTGGAAAATCTGCGCGTTGTCCAAATATATTGATTTGTGATCTTAAGACAGAAAATCACTGTCAGAAAGAAATTTTTTTTGCAAATTTATTGTCTAGATCTAGAGAAAATATCAGTGCGAAGATTCTACGGCGTGAGAACACGATAAGGGCCGCGAAAAACTACCGAAATCTAGAATAATTCGAAGTGGTGTTCCGAGGTTGTGACATGCGACATTCAGGTGTGAAAATTGAGGAAAATTAGGGTATACGCTGGGTAACTGTATTGTAAAGGTACATATCTATTCATTATTCCCAGGTTTGCCTTCTATCAATGGTGCGATGACAAATTAATTGGAATTATAGTAGCAATGGAAGGGGAACCTGCTTTTAAACATTGCCAGCAATGGAAAAATTTTGGTGAAAAAATCAAACAAGACAAAATCTTGGTGAAAAAAATAGGTAGTATGGATTGTTGGCAATCTCTTCAAACAGACTCCCAACCCAAATGCCATTTTCAACCCTCTAAAAGTACTAAATTTCAATTTCCTAGGGGGCTTCACCTCCTGAACCCCCCCCACAGCACACACCCCCCCCCCCCCTGCCCCCGGCAAAATTTTCCTTACTTTTCAGCTTCAGCTGGTGGAAGCACTGTAGATTATACACTGCAGGCCTGTCATCAATACCAGTGTGCTCAACCTGGATCTAATCTAAGTAATACACTATTCAAATTCGATGTATATTTACATAAAAGCTTATTGTATTTGTGGATCAGCCATTTATTTCATAATGCATTTTTCAATACCCCCTCAAAATTACAGGCATGACTTAAATGTTTTGATCATAAATAGATCTTTCAGCATAAAAGCTGATTCTATTTGTGGATCAGTCATTTATTTCATAATGCATTTTTTAATACCCCCTCAAAATTATTTTTAAAAAATATTTACATGTGATTTTTTTAAATACCCAAGTTGTATAAGATGTGCCTGTCTTTCCTCTGGGTTCCCCCAGAAGCATTTTTTCTCACATTCTGTCATGACTTTACTCTTTCAGAAATGTTAGTATTGAGGAGCTCCAGCAGAAGATTGTGGAAGCTGATCAGGGTGAGTCATAAAGTGTATAGTTCACCAGGTCTCAATTTCAGGTTTTCTGCTAGGGTTCTTATTTTTTTCATTCCTTTATCTTTTTTTATACCACTTTTCAATCTTTTGCAAGAGTGATTGTTTTATGATTTATTCATATCCGTAAAAAAAATTTTTTTAAAATTGTATGTGTATCATACATAATCACTTGTTCAATTCTTTTTCCAACAGTAAAAAAGGGTTGCGAGCGCTGTAAAAACCTCTACTAAAACAAACAACTGTAAAGGTGATCAGTAATCACAGTGATTGTGTGAGAATGATGGGGGGGGAGGGGAGGGGAGGATAGGCAGAGGGAAAGAGATAGAGACAATTGAAATGTTTTTCTATCTATAGAGATCGAATGTGTTATTGTCTTTAGTCATTCAAGTTTCAATTTTATTGTGACCGTTAGTGAGTTTTTATTGCATTATATATATTTTTGGTGAATGCATTGCCAGGCTCACCGCATGGCTTATTTTCTCATAGAATTTTTTATACTGTTTTATGTACACACGTCCATTAATTTTTAAAATGTGATATCTTTATTAATGCAATGCACATTGAACATTGATGATATTTATCATTATTATTATTTTCATTTTTTTGTATGTGTCCTTTGTCAGATTATGGGCATAAATGTATTTCAGCATTTTAGAGAATTGTATGTTGATTGGGCTAGTATGCATAAAACATTTTAATTTAAACCTTATTTTTATTGTGAAGCGCCTTTAGCCACCAGGGTGTGGATGCTATAGAAGTGATTATTATTATTATTACTATGATTATTATTATTATCATTATTTTTATTTTTGAGGGTGCGGTGGGGGAGCGGTTAGTGCTTCGTTTCCGAAGCGGAAAGTCCGGGTTCGAGCCTCGGTTCGGACACGCAGTTTTTTTGCCCTCTCCGGCCCACCCAGCAGTAATGAGTACCTGACTTCAAGTTGGGGAAGTAAAAGCGGCGTGGAAAGGAACTGGCCACTCTACCACAATATGCTGAAGGCCCAGAAAGTTGTCTCACTAACAAGGCAATTCCCAATATCCGGATCGGATGCGGGAACAACTTTACTTTTTTATTATTTTTATAATACATTTGTACTGACATCTGTGGTTCAATGAATAGGCTCTTCACCCCCCCATTTCCGCCTCACAAAGATATTCTATATATATATATATATAGTGAATCCATTTTTCTGCTGGGGTTGTTTCCCATGCAGCTGGGTTTGGCCGTTACTGGCAGGGTGGAGGCAGTATACTTTGATAGATTTTGGTTAATGTTTTGAGAATTTCATGCTCCTGGCATTTCATGTGGGTGGTTGGCGGGTGCTCTGTGTGGTTTGCTCCTTCTTTCCCCATTAAATATCTAGCGTCCTCACCTCTCCTCCTTTTTTGTGTATGTTGTTACTCTAATCTTCAGCACTTATGGGACCTAATTGTGTTGCATGTGCCGTGAAACTCTTACTTAAACTAAAACGAAGCTAAGGCATTTCATTCATCTGTTGTCTTCACTGGGACTTTTCTTTTGTCTTTGTTTAGAGTCAAAGGGCAAGTCAACATGGCAGAGTCTGCATACAATGAACGAAGCCAAATGTGCCATGAAGTTCCTGTTGGAGCAGGTATTGAAAAGATCTTCAATGATATTGGTCTCGTTGCCCTATTGTCCTGAGTGATTGTGCATGTTTTCTGGATTTTATTGTGTCAATAAGAAATGCTGTGGGCTTCAGAAGTCAAATATAGTACATTATGATATATCATATTAATAAATATCGGTTTTTGTCTTCATAAGTGGGAAGTCAGAAGGCGCCACTGGTAGGTCCTGCTTCTCCTCTTTTCAACTATTGTTTCTGTCTATCTGACTGTAATTGTGTCAGTGAAATTTTCTTTACTCATACTCATAGTACTTATATACTGGTTTTCGCAAGTTGACTTGTAGTACTTTGTATTTTCACTTGATGGTTTGTAAATTATGGAATTCTGAACTGGGGTTGTTTTGGGGTATTTTTAAGGCTCTACACCTATTTACCTCGGTTCCATTGTAGATGAATATGACAATTCAAGGGTCCCACCTCTTCAATAACCTTACAGTGTTGAAAGGGGCGTTAACATATGCAATTTCGTTTTCGTAACGTACATAATCCATTGCAAGTTCCGACTTGGTTGTAATGTCTTTAGTTTTTATTAGTTTTTCAGGTAGGGCAGACATTTTTTCCTAATTCTCCATCTTTCTGCTTAGTTATGATGCATCCCTCCTTATACCTTGAGTTTTCCCTGACCTGCAGTGTTGTGGCATAGTTTAGAATTAATGACGATGTTATCCATGATTAATACAGATCATAAGAATATATGTGATTGATATTGTATCTTCACTATGAAATCTTCTAGCTGGCGCAGTGTTAGTCAGTTGGTGTCATACTGGGCTATGATGTGAATGACCCTGGGTTACCTCCTGAATGGAGTGATCTTGAAATTCTTTGGGGACTTTCTTGCCTCTTCACCCATTTGGCTCTGTTCCATTAGAGACAGATGTTGATTTAGAAGTCCTGCCTCTTAGATAACGTTAGAATGTAGAAAGGAATGTTAACCCCATGCCGTGAGTTGAAAAAAAAACTGTATTCTTTTTTTGCCATGCGCCCCATATCCCTCCCTCTGTGCAGGCCATCAATGCTAGAGCAGACAACGTGAAGGCTAGCGACGAACTGAGAGAAGTTCTTGACAAAGAGAAAGATGATGTCCGAGAAGTGAAAACACTGAAGGCTGAGTTGAGCCGAGAGGCCGCCAAGCACCAGAGAGAGATGGACAAACTGAGGACAGAGTATGAGGAGAAGGTAACCAGGATTTTTGTGATCAGATTTTCTACGAACATGTTTGCTGCAATTTGACCTCTGTTCATTTTGAGTCGTATCTTATTGACATTTCTGTTGATGTAATCTTGCTACTGGCAGTTGTTGTTATTGATCCATCAACATCTGGGCTCTCGCCCTTCTGTCCAATGCCATGTAGTGATAAGTGCAGGTTTGCTGCAGTTGCTGTAATGTTCCGTAGAGTGTGTTATCGAAGTTAGGTCTCGGAGGGAGAAGTGTAGCTCTGATGTCATTTGGGGCTGTACAGTGGAAAAGGTGATGTCCCACAGTCTCATATGCATAGTCACACAAAGGACTCATTGGAGGAAGTTCTGGTTTTATTCTGTTCAAGTGAAAGTTGAGCTGTATATGTTCTGTTCGTAGGCGGAAGATCGTGGTCTGTTTCTTTCTCTGTAGGTGGTTGATATTGTCATTTCGTTTTGTTGTAGTCATATGTTTGAAAACTGCTCTGCCTGTTTTTCCCAAGGCCCATCTGTTCATCGAATCTTGTTTGCTGTTGCTTTTAATGATTTGTTTTGCAGTGTTGTATGAAGTTGGAATGTTGGGTTGTTCCTGTCTATATCCCTTTTTGGCGAGTGTGTCTGCTCTGTCATTTCCAGGTATGTTTGAGTGTCCGGGAATCCACTGCATCACCAGGTTGACACCACAGAATGTTATCAGATGATGGGAGCCAAACAGTATATGTGTCAAGTCTTTGTTTAGATAGTGATCATTTTCTATTGCTTGCAAGACTGACAGTGAGTCAGTGAAGATCACTATACTCTGTGTTTTGTTTGGATGAGTGTCAAAAACTGTGCGGAGATGGTATAGTGCTGTTTCAATTGCTATCATTTCTGCTTCGTAGTTGTTGCATTTCTCTCCACAGGCTGCAGAGATCTCATTGGAACTTCCATCTGGGTATTGTATTAGTATTCCATATCCGGCTTTAGTGGTGCCTTTGAATGCTGAGCCGTCTGTATAGACGTATATCCAGTCATCTGAGTAGCTGTCGATTGTTTGATATGATGCAAGCATCAACTTCACTAGGTCTGAAGATTTTGTGCTATTGTCTCTGAGAGAAGTTTTAATGATTGGTTTTTCATAGAAATGTGGGGAGGGATGTTTTGGTTGACTCTTTTGGTTTCTCTTCTGTTTTGTGGTAGATGGTGGCTCTCCATTAGTTCTGTGATGCGATGCATGCCTGATTTTTTTAAGTCGCTTTTTTGGTTTCCATGTTTCTACTAATTTCCTGTTTGGGTGGTTGGGGCACATTCTTTTGGTTCTTTCATAGAGCTCCAAAACTGCTTTATCTCTGCGAATTCCCAGGGGTTCAACATTTGACAGAATTTCACATGCGGCAGCAGGTGTAGATTTCATGCCACCATTTATGAAACGAAGGGCATTATTTTGGACCTTGTCAAAGGTATTGCAAGTAGTTGCCCTACACATAGTGAGTAGGCTATTGCTGTATTCTAGGGAAGATTGGACATAACCAAGGTATACAGCTCTCAGAGTTTGTTTGTCTAATCCCCATGAACTGCTAGCGAGTTTCTTTAAAAGTTGGAGTCTTCTTTTCGCCTTGTTCTTTATGCTCTCCACTTGGCTTTTCATTGTTAGACTTTGGTCAAGTTTGACTCCTAGATACGTTGGTTGTTCTTCTTTGGGGAGATTTTCATTTCCCATCTTCAGCTGGAGTTTTTCTTTGGCTGTTTTATGGCTCTTTGTAAAGATGGTGTATACTGTTTTCGAGCAGTTTATTTTGAGCTTCCATTTCTGACAGTAATTGTGGAGCCTCTTGAGGTCTTAATTTAATTTTCCTGCTCCTACTACTGTGCTGTGATGTGTCTGCAGGAGAGCAAGATCATCAGTGTAGAGTCTTTTCTGATTTCAGCACGTTCGTCACATCATTAAAGAATATCAGGAACAAGGTGCAACTCAAACAGGAACCTTGGGGTACAGGAACCTTGGGGTAGGCCCTCCTCGAGTACTTCTCTTGACGAGTGGGCATTGTTCACTTTTGTTTCGATGTTTCGATCCACTAGGAAAAACTTGATCCATTTATAGAGTTTCCCGTGTATCCCGAGGTCCATCATTTTCATGAGTAGGCCTTTTTTCCACACTCTGTCATACGCCTGTTGGAGATCTACAAAGGTGGCAACAGTGTGTTTAGTCTCCTGGAAACCATCCTGGCAAATGTATGAGCTAAACACATGCATTAAAGCCTTCACCAACTCTCTCTAGGTATGTTTTCCATGACCATCAACTACACTGAAGATTACCATCATCTGTGGTGTAACTTTTAGACTCTTTTCTGTCACGCACTGAAGACATGAGTTCAATTCTCCTGTGGGGAGGTTTACTTGTTGGATATCACCTTCTGTCTGCCGGGATGTTGTGTCCCTCTTAGTCCGGGTAGGCCCTAGGTTAAGAGCAGCTCATCTGCTAAATGATATAAATTGTGTTGATTGGGGCGTAAAGCATTTACCATCACAAGTTTTTCCAAAGGTTACAAAAAGCTCAGAATGTAAATCCCTGCAACATTTGTAAAGAGATTGGAAAAAGCTGGCACAATTCCAAAGATTCTTACAAATGTCTCATTTTATATTTGCTTGTTCAGGGGTTGGGGTGAGTGAGAATTGGCTTTGGAAAAGACTTGTTTTTCGAGGAAAGCATTGAAATGAGTTGCAAACAAAGAACACCCCCCGGGGCAGTGCCACTGACTGTAGTTTCTTTAGGCCATTCTCAAAGGGGGGACGTTTCTCGTTCAAGCATAGTAGAATTGTAAACGGGCTGACTCATGTCACGCTCGTAACTGTGCCTGATCAGCAACAGGGAACTGCTGCTTTTGCTTTCCTGATCCTTACTATTATCATTTTCCTCTACTTCTTTTGTATGTTTGTCACTCTCTTGTGACCTGCTATTTCCGGGGTGCCTTGATAGTCGAAGCAGACCTTGTGCTGTTGAAGCTAGAGAGGTGAGCCGTCTAAGTCTGATTCCCTGTAAAGACTTCTCTGTTGACACCCACCCCTTGGCGCTCATATGACCTTATGCAGTTTCGAGCGCTGTAAAACCCTCTACTATAAAAAATAAAAAAAAATAAAAAACAAGTGATATGAATTGGCAATATTTTAGAACATGTCTTTGGGAATGATATGATTTTCTTTTGAACTTGAATTCTCTGACAGCACCCCCCCCCCCCCCCCCTCTCCCCCCAAAAAAAAATTGAATAACTTGAATTATACTATTTCTATATTTCTAATGATTTGAAGTAGTTGCTCATTATATACTGAAGAGATGTTTTGAACTTTGCCATGCATATTATATTTTTTTCTTTCCTTCCAGACTCTTTTCTTGCTGAATGCTGATCCTCGAGGCAAAAATGCGAAACCTACCAGCAAAGTTGCACAAGAAAAAATTAAGCTTTTGGTGAGATTGTTTTCCATCTTTTTTACATGTATATATTACAGTCCAGCATGTTCATAGCAAACTGATTTTCCAGCCCAAACTTTTTGTAATTCTTGTATTTCCTGTGTATTTAAAACGCATAAATATCCAAAATTTGTACACATATAAAGAAAAGATATCTGCATCCCTCCGATTTCGCTATGAGCATGCTCGACTGTATTTGTTTAAGTCCAAGCTTAAGAACTGATGTAGTTGTTTCCATTGTATGTTAAACTCCTTTTCTGGGGCATCATATCTGTACATCAATATTGTGGTCAATCTTAGTGGAGCTGCTGCTTAATCTATTTCCCTTGTGAATAGAGGTTTACAAGCCTTGTTATTGGAGAAGTTGCTGCAGTAAAATGTCCCTTAGTGTTTTATTATTGTGTTAAGTTCTCTACTCTTCATGGGAAAGCTCAAGATTTTTTGGAGTATTGACTCTCAGAGACGAAACCTTCAGTTCGTGTTTATTTAATTCTCCCCAAATGTTTAAGCAGATTTATTTTTTGCCATACAATAATTTTTTTCAATCTAGAGTATATAATTTTTTTGTTTTCTGTAAAAGCTAGATATGCTACTTTTTTTATCTTGGTTTCTTCCAAATCCAATTTAGACATAATTCACTTTTTAGTCTTAATTAATCCATGTCATTTGTATTTTCAACAAAACTGACCCTTTTTTTTTCTTTTCCTCTAAAGAAATCATCAAGAAAATTTCCTTGAAAAGTTAGCAATACCAGTTTTCCTTTCTTATTGATTAATCTGTGCCGATTCTACTATTTTCTTTCTAATTGGGTTTATATGCCTCTTCTGTTATTTGCTTTCCAAATGAATCTATATCAATTGTTTTCTTCATTAACAAAGTCTTTGTGCCTGTTTAGAAAAACTATTCTTCATTTTTTTAAATATCCTCAATATTCTTTTCCGTGTCTGCCACCTGGCTGGTGGGCAGTCTAGTGAGTTGCTCTTTCTCCCTCCATCCTGTCATACTCTATATGTTTTCTCCTCAACGTTTTTGGAAATGGTGCCAAGTCTAATCATAATTCAGCAATTACTTCTCGACCACCGGTTTGGGTGTTTTGAGGGCACTTCTGGTAGGTGCTATTTCTCTTCTGTCCCCCTGGTGTTAGCTTTTACTTACGTATTTATGTATGTATGTTTGTCATTGTAATCCAATTTTCCCCTTGAGAATCAATAAAATGTAATTTGTTGTTGTTTTTCTGTGCATCAAATGATCGTTTTCGCATTGGTGTTCTTTGCCTTACTCAAACAAACCCTCTGACCCCTTCCTACTTGTTGGTCAATCAGGAGGCGAAGGTGGAGCGACTGTCAGGCTTGGAGGACACCCACCAAGAAAAGTTGAAGGAGTTGGAGCAGATGAAACAAGTAAGTACCTCTAATGTTTTCTGTTTTGCTATGAATCGACTTAAACTTTCTGTGCAGAAAATGCAATTATAAACCAATTGTCTTCCCCCAATATAAATGATAGTGATTTTTCTTTCTTTCTTTTCTTCTCTCTCCCCCCTTCTTAATTGGGCCAAGCACTGGACCTTTGAAATATGGGTGGTTGTTTTGGTGCTCTGATGGGGTTTGCTCCTTCTTACCTATCAAACATCTATTGCCCATCATGTTTCCTCCTTTCTTTTGTATGTTACTCTCTAGCAGCACCATCAATCTTTGCACAAAACTTACATGACCTATTTGTGTTGCAAATGCCGTAAAACTCTTACTAAAAACGGAAATAAAACTGAACCAAAATATTCATTTCTAAGTCCACACCACCTGGGCATTTTGGTGTTTGTAGAACGCCTTTCTGGACTCTCAGAATGGGCTTGAATCCTATGTTGTGATGGGTAGGCTATTTGTTGTCACACTTAGAAGATATAATTTTGATTCCCATGTCTATGTTATCTCCCTTCTGTCTGCTTAGATGGTCAGGCAGAAAGAACTGAAGCAGCCTTCCTTCTATATGATCTAAATTGTGTAGATGGAGAGTAAAAATGTTTGAAGTGTGTGTGGAGAGTCTCTGCTTTTTCTTCCTCATTTTTTTACATGGACTGTCTGAGCAGAAATTGTTTGTTTGTTTACTGAGCCCTGTCCCACTAGTTCTAGTTTTTAGCTGTAATTTTTGTTTCAAAGCTACACATTAAAATCATGCTTCTTTCCTGTATTTATTTTTCCTTTTATTTGTATGTGAGACAGCGTGGTGAAATCAGACACTCGTCAAAATAATGAAAATTGTGAAAACTGGCTTTTTCCCGCTGGTTTAGGAATTTTTAATGAATTTTTGTTTCTGGGCTCAACACCTTCTTTGTGTATTGAAGAACACATTTCTGTATGGATTTTTATTGAATAACATAGATTAAAGGCACAAAAAATGTAAACTATCAGTTTCCACTGACTCTAAAGCTAAGGAAATATGAAACTTTGGCAGCCATTTTCTTGCAAATTTAGCCTCTGAAATCAGGTGACCCCCACCTTCTTCAACTTCAATTGCCAATACCTCGACTTGTGTCCAAGATATGGATATTTTTATTATCGAAACAAAACAAATGAACAAGCTGTAAGATGATACCAATAACTTCACACGCCCAAAAATTGACGAGCGCCTGATTCCACTGCATTGTGACACATGTATTATATCTGTTCAGAATCATATCTTGTTCTTCTCTCTTTTTTTCTTCTTCCTCGCCTCTCTTCTTGTTTCTTTGTCTGTCTTTGCTTTTCCATTTCTGTGCTAAAGCTCATGAATAGATGGGCAGACAAGACTGGTTTTCTAAACCCAAAGCTAAGCTGTGTGGTCCATGGCTGTTGGTTCTACCAAAGTAAAGAGTCTCTTGTCTCTATTTGTGCTGTAGGCCATTCTCGAGAGTAGGGCCTACTGTTTATGTGCTGTACATGTGTCCCCCACCTCCACCTTTTTTGGGGGGGGTTGGCTAGTTGAAGATCTTTCGTGAAGGTGAAGTGCTGTTTAAAAATTAAAAGTTTTTGAAAATTTTGTGGTTCATAATGTAAAGCTTGGGGACGCTTATTTGTATTTTTGGGGGGAACGAAAAAAAGGTGACTACCGGTAAGTACATCAGTTAATGCAGCTGTTTCTTGTTTAAGTTTCTCCTGTGTAAATTTGACCATGGCTCAAGAGGACTGAACTTTTGCCATTTGTGCAGACATGATGCAGGTTGCGATAAAATTGGATGCTCGGGAAAAGCTGTTTTTGACTATGTTCTTAAACGAGAGTTGACCTGGTTTTATGGCATTTCTGTTAGGCTGGGGTCACGTGTAGTGGCGGTCAGTCGCATCCGTTGTCTCAGTGTCCGTCTGCGTCCTCTGCCCCCCAGAAAATGACCACCATGATGTACAGTAGCAAGGCCTACCGACTGATGCCCGATCTGGACATGGGCGCCAACTCCTCACCGTTCCTTAACCCCAGGCCCAAGGTGAGCCAAAAAAAATTTTTCCATGTGTGTAGTGGGTAAAGTTAAACTTCTTTATAAATAGATCTTTATTGGTGGTTGGTAGGTGCTCTGGTGTGGTTTGTTCCTTCTTTCCTGTCAAATATTTATTGTCCTTATCTCTTCTCTCTTTTTTTTTTGGTATGTTACTCTCTAATCTTCAGCACATCTATGACCTAAATGTATTGCCAGAACCTTAAAACGCTTACTAAACCTAAACCTCTTGTTCTTAATTCTTCAGTAGGGATTGCCAAACATTCGCTAAATACAGCGGTATGTCAAAGAGATGGTTAAAGGGTGTCATTTTGGTAGTTTTCCCCCTTTTTTTCCCCTCTGACGTTTGCCTGTCTTTCTTTTTCCTTAAACTGAATGCAGAGCTGCCCATCATCACGAATTTGGCCGAATCGTTATGATTTTTATTCAGTTTTATGAATATACTATACGATCGAAAATAATTTTTTTTTTTTAATGTTGGTTATCACAAACCACTGCCTGATGAATATGGGGAGAAAAATTGTAAAAATACTCTTACTAAAGGGTGAGTTTTTTTGGGTTTTTTCACAGTTGGACACCAGTTCATCCACACTGAACAGTACCTTTGTTGTGGATGAGGAACAGGAAGAGAAACCGCAGCCTACACGGGCCGTACTACAAGCCAAACGGAAAACTAGGTCGGGTGACAAGAACAATGAAACATTCACGTCTTCAGAAACGGAGAACGACTCGAGTCTTGGCACAAAGAGCAGGCGGAAGCAGAAGGGAGTGAAGAAAGAATTGATGGAGGAATTTTCAGAGAACAAAGATGACAGTGTGAATGAGCCGGCAGAGAAAAGGTTGTCGTCCAACTTTCTGAAACGGCGGTCCGGAGAGGATCCCTCGGATGACACTGATTGCGATACGAGCCGAGAGAAAAAGAAGAAAAGGAAAAGGACCCTGCTTTGCAACTCCACCAAAGGATTCTTTGCTGATCTCAACACACCATCCTGAGTGATGATGATCTATTAGTAATGTATTTGTGTAGTATGTGACAAAATGATTTGCTTTTCGCACTCAGCTATTTCAGGGTCTGGGACAGAACTGCGATTTTCTCATTTCTGACTCCCCGGCTTCATGCCTTTAACTTTGGAAGCAAAGTGGATAGACTGATACTGTTTTCACCCTCTTGTATGGCTTGATGAAAAGATCCCTTCAATGGCATATTGACACCTTTAATACATCATGGAATAGCACAATTTTCCACATCTTGATGTACCAGGGAATGCAAAGAGTTGTAAGGAAAGGGCTGATTTGCTTCTCGTAGTGTTGTATTGTCAGATTGTGCGACATTATAACTCATTTTGTCATGTAGTGTTGTGTGTCTACATCCGTAGTTGTTCCGTGCTTGTATGAGTGGTCTGAATGAGTCAAACGGTACTAAAACTAGACTTTTATTATCTCCCCCTTTTTTTTTCTCTTTTCCTCCTTTTTTTTGGTCTCCTGTATATACGAGCAAAATTTGCCCTACATTACCAGACTTCTACTTGACATCTTGTCAGCCCAGCCTGCACCTCTAAGATTCCACAATTTGAAAGAATGAGATTATGTTTTGTAAAATCAAAATCTATGTCAATGTGGCTGGATGTCTCTTTGTACACTGTTTGGATCTCATGAGTGATGTTTTCTTGTACCTTCGTCTGTCATCCAAGCTTGTGTTCATTCTTTTCTCCTTCTGTCCATCTTTGTGTGTGCATGTTTGTCATAAGTGTATTGTATTCAAGACTGTCAAAGTACTGTCTCGCTGACAAGCTACGATCAATAATGGCCTTCGTCAGACCAAAGCACCATGCACAGAGCAGAAATGTCAAATCCCTATTTGCTATGGTTTGATACAATCAAAGATAGTGCATAACAAGATGGGCCACTCAGCCAAAAAAGTGTCCGCAGGAAGTTCGCTCTTTGCTTCAGATGGCGCTGCAGTCTGTTTTGAAGCTCTCTTTCGTTTTTCCAGAAGAAGAATAGGAATAGCACCTCCTTGCGTGCGCAGATCGATTGCTGTTCATTAGCAGTTCGGGTTCGTTCAGAGTGGAGTTATCGTTTTTAAAAAATTTAATGACCTCTAGCCTTTCATTCTAAAGTCAAATTAAACGAAGAAAACAATCACCCTTTCCTCTGGAAGAGGTTTTTTGTAAGCGTAACCATTTTTAAAAAGCATTCTTCCGAAATTCATTCAAAAACTTGCTAGTTTCACTTTGATTTTTTTAGCTCAAGTAGGATAACTCTGTTCCCAAAAGGTGCGCTTTTGCGAAGAGGGCGCCACTGAATTTTGAGGACACTTTTTTAATTGGCTCAAAGAGAGAAGTGGCCCCTCTTGTTATGTAGACTCTTTGATACAATTGAGGACAGCCAGATTTCCTTTCATGGAGGAGCAAAAATTCAGGTCACGAGTTGGTGAATTTTTTGGTGAACATTATGGCCAACAGCCAATTATAATGGTCATGTGACATCACAGGGGTCAGATTATTATTTTGTTGTTGTTAGTGGGTTTGTTTGTTTTTTTTTGTTTGTTGTTTTTTTTAGAGGGGGGGGAGGGGGGGTCCACCTGGAGTGTGATAGGCTTTAATGGGACTTTCCGGCCAAGTTTGAAGAATCAAAGGGGAGATCTATTTCACAATACAATGTGCTTTGGCTTGCATCATTCCCTAGCCCTGTCTGGTCTAATCCTGCATTTGACTAAAGGTCTACGTCAGATTTAGGCTTAAAGCTTACTGACCCACAGTGGCATTCCCTTTATACCATGCCCGCACCTCATCATATAAGACACAATGGGCTAACTTAATTATTTTTAAAAAGTCATTATAACCCCCAAGTCTGGACAAAGGATGAACTTAAAAGTGTTTTCTTTTATTTATTCAAACTATGGTGATTGATTAAAAAAGCCATTTTTGTAGCTTGTTGAACTGTTTGTATTTCATGTGTCTTTCTTTTGTCCTATCTAAAATCCAACTTGGTGCTAGTGTATAGAGAACACCGAGTGATCTGAATCACTGTCTGTACATTTGTACAGCATCGGCATTATTCCATGTTATTGTGCATACCTAAGATGGACCAATTACAATTTTTCCTGTCAAAGGACATTGCATTATTTTGTGTGTACCTTATATATAAATATTCTATCTGCGACTGCAGTCAAGTGTTGTGATGCGTGATTTATCAATGAAATTTTATTTTGACTTTGGGCGTTCTGAATTACTCGCCTTACTTTTCCATCTGTGTAGTCTTTCTCCACCCCCTCTGTTTTTCTCGCTCTTCCTCCCGCCTGTTGTGTTTCCTCCTCCCCCCCCAAACACCAACATATTCATACACACACACACTCTGTCTGTCTGTCTCTCACTCTCTGTCTGTCTGTCTCTCTCTCTCCTCTTTGTTTATGCACATCTTTCACACTGAGAGTTGATTTTTCCTTCTCTGAAAGTTCAGCTATACACCTGAATATATATGTATATATGAATGTGGCTGCGGTTTGGCTTTGCATGGTTTTGTACAAAGAGAACTGGGACCTATGTAATTAAAAATAACAAGAAAGAGCTTGTTCCATATATATATAGTATGTATACAACTACGATAAACTTCACTTTCATCAAAAAAGTCAGGCTGGACTTTCAGTTTTGGTGAAAATGTGAGGTTACCGCTTCTTGTTTTCTCATTTCGACAAGCTCACACATTCCTGTGACGGACTTCTGGAGTCTGTCCAATTATCGCTTTTTGAATCTGTGGTTGTGTGGGAACTTTGTAATTTCTAATGAATGTAGTGGATAGGGGCGCAGTCAGTTCTATGATCTTTATTTTCAACTGTACCCGATAGTGCCTTAACATCTTACAAATTATTACTGTGATGTGTGACATTTTTTTTTTCTTTCAGTCAAGTGAATTTTTCTTTTTTAAATGTATTTGAAACCATCTAGGTAGGGAGCTGTTACTACATGTGTTCTTTCCTGCTTTTTACTAGTCTGGAAAATTAGGATTTTAAAAAGAATTTTAAGATATTTTATTCAACCTGAGTCAAGCCAGGCACCGGCATCTTTTGTGAGATGCTTAGGCTTCTCATCATTACATGCAAAGTACATGAGTTTGAGTTCCAAGTGCGGAAGTTATTTTATCATCAACGTGTATCTCTTGTCTGTGCCCCACTCGTCCAAGGTTGGCCCTGACAGTGACAGGCAGGGTTCGAAGCAGCCCACCCCCTAAATGACCTAAATTGTGTGGATTTGGGTGTAAAGCATTTACAATCAGATTGTAGGTGATGCTCATTTTCCTGTTTATGTCGCATTCTTTTGTCACTAAGATGTAAACTGTTTTCATTCTTTTTTCAAGTTTTCAGGTGGTTGCAGGGTCGCAATTGTAGGATCTTCCTAACTCATTGTAGGTTTGCTGTCGATCTTGTTTATCCCAGCACTTAACAACCTTTATTGTATGCTGTCCACTTGCTTTTTTTTAACCCGCATATTTTTTTCCCATTAAGCCTATCCCTTTGTGGTGATTTCATTGAAGCAGTTGGCAGAGTAGATGTCTTTGATTCCTCGTTTTGGTCAACTGCAGCTGATCATTTCAATTGGGTATGAGTTGAAAATTGTGAATGTGAAAAATCTACAGCATTTTCATTCATAGAAAATAAAGGACTGAGTTTTTTTCGTGAACAGGGGGAAGACTTTTGTTCATAGGAGCAAGGTAATGGCTTGTCTCATATTAGTAATGGGGCTGTTGTGAGCAAATTGTGAATGGATGTCCTTGTAAAAGTTTAACATTAAATTACATTTTGTACTCTTCATTTTGAGATTTTTATTTATATTTACTGTTTGTAGCAATTTTGGGTGGTTATTTTCTTTTCTTTAGATGTTTTCTCCTTCAATTCAAAAGAATGAAGAATTTTTGTAGCTTTTGGTAGCAACTGTTAAAAATTGTCATATATGGCTACAGACTACACTTATGTCTGTTTTTTAACCAGCGTATTTCCACACAATAATTATAGTTGAATTAGACTACTAATTTTGTGTATACTTTTGTGAGTCAAATCAGAGACAGTGATTTTGAAAGTGGAAAAGTGATGGGTTTCAGTTTTTGGGGGTGCATGTAACTTTTGGGCTGAATCTAATGCTTGTTGAAATTATCTAGTATCTAGGTGCCCCTGGCGGACTGGGTCGTCGGTGGGCACTCTACTGTGGTTGGATCATTTGACAAATATACTTCCTGGGGAAATTTGGTGACTGTCATGATGGCTTACTGTAATCAGGAAATGTCCAGCCCTTGTGTTGTGAGTCGTGAGAGTGAGAGGGTTTTTTTTTTCTCACATAATTGTTAATATCATGTAGGCCTACCCTGTCTGTTGAAGGAAAATTGGGCAACACTGCTTTACAGAGTAAAAAAAAGGAACCATTAGTTATTCCGCCTTTTTTCTTCTAATTTTTTTACATTGATCATTGATAGGTCTTGTTGTCTCTGTCGTAGAACCTTCCTTGTATCCTAACAGCTCTTCGTTGCTTCTGGTTGTGGGTGGCAGATACAATTGAATTTGAACAGGACTCATTAATTTGTACTTTTGTTTCTACTGAGGAATATGGTACCGTAACTTGTCAGTGTGTGTGTCTTGATTGTCTGAGCTGAAAGTGAGAGCTAAAGACTGAGCATATTCAAAGAATGTGTCACAAATTGCATGTCTCTAAATCTGAATAAAATAACTGTACATATATTTTTCAATTTTCAAGTTCTCCTTTCTCTTTTCTTATAGTATTTGTTCTGCAATTGTGTAAAATAAATCTAGAACAAAATGTTGATTTTGGAATGAGTAAACATTGTATCTAAAAATGATCTACTACTGACTACAAAGAAGGGTCAAAATAGCACATATGAACAGTGATATAACAAAGTTGTAGGGCGTGACCTTCGATTTCGCTGAATCTCTGTGTTCGTTATAGCAATGTGAGCAACAAATTGTGTAACAGTGTGTAAGTGTAAGGTTTAGCAAACGGCAATGTGTGATTCCACAGACCGTCGCGCAATTCATTTAGTTGATTTACTTCTAATACTTCTATGTCTAGACGAGCCTTTCATTGTCCAGTAGCCGGTGGCAGGGGGTAGATATGATTATGATGCGACTCTATCTCTGTAGACTTTCCACACCCGTTCAAACACCTACGCCGCAGCAGCAGCCCCCCCTCCGACACATGCACTTACAGCCACTCGACCGACCTCTCTCAATCCTGACACGAAAAGTCACATCACATCTTAAGTGTGTATCAACAAGGCACGTTTTGGTGTGAAAGAAGGCTTCTGATTGGACGCATATAAGATACTCTATAGGCTAGGCTAAACGCATTATAATTGTAATAATCCATGGTGCAATTTTGCAATGCCATAGTTGGTCTCTTGAAATAGAGTAGAGATATGGTTGTTGCTACCTCGTTGAATCTGAGTCTGAGTTCGCTCACTAACACCTACGGGACCTGCCTCACACTTTGCTTTCAGCTCCCCAGGACCGGAGCTGGCGCCCGCTTCCTGACTATGCGAGATATATGTGTTACTCTAATGTGAATATCTCAGCCTCTAGTACGATAATAGACATGAAACTTCATCAAACTATTATTAACAATATGTGCCTCAAGGCTGAAACACATTTTTATTGGAAAAAATATTTTGGTTGGAGTAATTACTAATTAATGTGTAACCGTAACCAATTACAGGTATGTAGAAAACTTTTGTCCAGAGTCAGTTCCTAACAGGATAAAAGACAAGATCTAGATCTACTTATAGAGTAAATTGCTCCTCAATCAATGATAACTTGTTCTAGATCTGTCTGTAATCATTTTCCCCTCGATTTGAAGACTTTCGATCTAAACTACTGTCTGTGTTCATATATATGTGAGGCAGCGTGGTGGAATCGGGCTCTCGTCAAAATAATCAAAGTGAAGAAACTTGC